GTTGGCTGACGCCAGAATTCATCCTGAGGCGTTGGGGCATTTGCACGGAAGTCTCGTGGAAAAGGTTGTGTTGACTGGAGCGTTGGGAGGCCTAGTGAAGAAGACGAGGGTGCTGGGAGGGTTGGCTGGTGAGGGGGCAGCAGAGCCTGGTTAGGATGCGACGCTAGCGCCATTACGCCAGCTGTTTGGGCAGGCGGTTGCTCAGCAAGAGGTTGGAGGATGGAACTGGGTCCAGGATTGATGTTTGAAGGGTGGTTGGTCCACTGATGTTGCTGCTGGTGGACGATGTTCTGGTTCTGCAGCAGCTGCTGTGCGTCTTGCTGGTGGTGTTCTTGACGGGGCTCTTCCAGCGGCGTATCGCTCAATGCGGATTGGATGCTGTGGGTAAGCGCTTTGGAGAGTCTTCCGTAGCGTTTGCTAAGAAAATCCAACTGTTCCCCTACTGCCATACGCGTACTGGTCCCGGCATCCTCACGTGGTTTCGCAATCCCAGCAAAATTAACCTGTTGTTGTACCATGTCCAGCCAGGAATAAGTAACGTTGTTTGCTGTGACCCTTCCTTTGCCCGAGCGACGCGCAAACGCAAGCAGCTGAAGCACTTTGTCAACGATGCCCCTGGGGGTCGGAATTGACCCTTCTATCCAGGGTTTCAGCTGCTGTAGAGCCCATTTACATTCAACAACTCTACGATGGGAGATGGTTGCCTCCACACCCAGCTCCGTAGGGTTCGGTTCCGATGGAGCATTTCTAATGTGCTGCATCAGCGGCAGCATTTTTCTTAATCGACGCAAAGCACTGCACGACTGGCCACAAGCTTCGAGCTGTGCCACTTCCTTCTGTCCCTTTTCCAAAATGAAATCCAGTGTCCGCTGCCGCTCCAACTCGACTGCCGGTGTTGAATAGACCCCAAGGAGAACCAGCTCTTGCACGCAGATTGCCATCAACAAAGAAACTAGAATAGCACGCGTATTAAAGGGAAGACAAGCCGCCATTTGCAGTCCAAGTGTCACGACGCATTTCAAGTCTTCTAATGCTTCCACAGCCTGTGATTCTCCCCTTTCCTCTGACAACTCTCCGCCCCCTACGGCCCCCTCATCAACTCCCTCATCCACACTTTGGGGGTCATCTGACCTATCACAATCGCTTATCCATCGATCGACCTCATCTGAATCCGAGAGGCGCCTTTTACCCACAGAACCAAGCAACCGTGGAAATAGAGTCTTCCGCGCACATTGCAACACCACAAAGGACACTGCTAAACACACAGCCGCCACCAAACCAGCGGTAACCGCCGAAACCCGAGACCTATGCCACTGCCTCTGTCGCCTTCTCAATTCTGAGGACTCAAGACCTCCCGAAGGCTCCCCCACCATCGGATTCCAAGAGATGTGGGGATGTAGGCTCGCCCCTTCATTTTGACCTTTTGCAGTAGATACCGCAACTCTCTGAATTGGAGGCACATTGCTCTTCTCTAGCTCTTTACCTGCTTCTCCTGGTGTGGCTCCTGTTGCACCAAGTAGCGTTATACACCACAGCAACACAAATATATGTTTGTATAATCTGAAACAATGTGGGGCTTGCATTTGCAGCTGCTGGATACTTCAGATACTCCAGGTTGAGGTTATTCCTGCTCACTGGTTGTATGGTTTCTTCGGTTTGTGTGGCTACACGCAAATCTCCATTTTCTCCAACTGAAACGCCTCAGCAACACTCATAGATGAGGAGGATGCACACGCCTATGCAGGAATGCACTCACGTACAAGGCTTGGAAAATGGAGTAGACCGAGATATTGGGATTCCGTACCAGTTCACTTCCGAGCCCCAGGGGCTGGCTGCAAGCAGGCAGCTATCGCTTCCCTCGCCTCGCTTAGCATTAACAAGGGCTCATACACCAAGAAAGGCCGAGTGCATTGTTTTTGTGGTTGTTGCGCAGCAAGGTAGCAACACGCGAGGCGGGGGCGGACACTTCAATGCGGTTTTGCGGAATTACCCGTGGTGAAAATCGGGGTTTAGAGTTCCATTGGCGAGTAACTGGGAGGTCATCCAGCGCCTGTAAAGTGAAAAATCCTAAATTATTATTTAGTAGCAAATAAGCATGCTTCACTGGGGGTACCTATCCCCAAAGAATCATGCCGGAGACCCTTTGCTCGATCTCTCATGATTGAAGAAGCGGAAGGCCAGAAAAAACAAAATTGGAAAATGGAAGGTACGATTTTACATGTCAGATGGTGAGCGTTCAGATTTGCAACAGTTTTGAGAATTTACTCTAGGCGGGGTTGTTCGCTGCATCTCTACAAGCTACAATTCATTGCATGGTACGTACGTACTGACAGCTGTAACTGACTGCCAGGTAGGCGGCCAATTTGTTGGTCATTTAGAACTAGATGATCAAAAATACTGGCGCAACGGCTTAAGCAACAATGAAAATTTAGAGCCTCTGCGTCAGTATAGTTTGAAATTGACTGATATTTTCTTCACCTGTGGGCGGTTGTTCCTCGTGGGGCACTTTTTATGCCCTGTTGAGGATCGATACTGGATCTCCCGAAATATTCTCGTGGGTCAGCTGCCTCCGACACAACAGTCGGCTACATCACTCTTAAATATATATATATATATATATATATA